TCACATTTCATCCCTTTCTTAGTTTTAATTTTAAGTGAACTCCCCCATCAAGTTTAAATTTACTTTCACTCTAGGTGCTGAAACTATTTTGATTTGGGAGTAGTTACACTCTGACTCAAATGAGAATTCACATTCTACACAGTAAGTAATTAGTGGAAAAAAATATGTCAATAGGTATCTTTAGCTCTTTATTTATAAGCAATGAAATATATAGGAAATTAGTAGAGATTAACAGGAAAAGGCAGAAATGGCATTAGTCCCAATATAGAGAAAAATGATCTAAATTAATTTTGGCAGAGTGAACTCTGCTTTCAAATTTATTTGTCTTATCACATTAACACTTTAACAATGACAGCCTATGGGTTTATTTTTAGGTACTAGTATGTTAAAATACGTGATGAAAGTAGAGAAAGAAGTTACTGAAACTGCTTTCTGTAAAGACATTCAAGCACTCCCCAGCTCCATGCTGGGAAACTATTCAAAAAACAGTGCATATGTCTGTATGGCAAAAATACCTGCAGTATAAATTCTGATGCTTTTAAAAAGTGCTAAACAACCGGTGTTAATACCAAGACTGCTATGTAGTGTGGCAGCCTGACACTTCTGAAAATCAAACCATTAATTTAAATGCCTAAAACCACATTTTTCTCACTGAAATGAAGAGGTTCACAATTTAAAGTAGCTGTTCTTAGTATTGGTACATTAGGCAGCTGAAAGAGGACAGCAACTTGCTTCACCAGGCCTGTACAGGATCTCCACAAGACCCTGCTCTCCCTGAAGTATATGTTTTTTACATGATGCAGTGACGGGGATAGAGTTAATTTCAGACAGACTTTTTACTAGCAAGGCAAGAAGGAGCTGTCAGACACAAACCCAGCAAAATGAGGCAAGCTCAGTAACACCGTGAGTAGAATGGTGGTGGTGATTTTGTTTTTCACAACCCTTTAACATTGCACTTAATGATGCACTTCCACTATTGTGTTCTACCAGATCTCTTTCTAGGATGAGTAATTTGTTAAATCACACCTACTGAATTTCTTGCAGTCTTACCAAAAAACGATTTATAGGAATGTATGGATAAGTTTCATGTATGTACTGCACACAGACAATATTAGTAGTAGTATAAAGTTAGAATGAAGGTACATGAACAGAAGTTCATAGAATGGAAAATGCTTGTCCAGAGAGATTTTAAAACTGAATTTTTAGTAGCACCTGACCCAAAAGTGCTTTTTTTAAGTACTCAAGGCTGTATTCAACATTACCTTCTCGACAGAATCTTTGGTGAAAAAATGAAAATCACAATTCTTGCCATGTTACAGCTAAACTAGTTTCCCATCTCTCATAACACAGACTTCTCTCTCATGGAAACAGTGTAGGAAATGGTGTAGTAATGGCAAAAAGTGTTAAGCCGTATTTGACAGGAAATTTAAAATTTAAAGATGTAGAAATCCCCAGGTATTTTGAAACAGCAATAAGCAGATGGATAGGCTAAAGCTGTGTATCTAGTTTTCACCCCTCTCTTACTGTAAGAGTAGATTTTAGGAATATAATGACCTACTTAATAAGCTGAACACAAAGTTACACACAGCCGTCAGCACCAGCAGATGAACTACCTTGCACCAGCCTTTCCTAGGCTCCGCATAAAACTGATTACATCTAAAGTAAAACCTTGCAGGGCAATGGATTCCACTAAAATCAAGTTCTCACCTTCGTAAGTCATACTTTCACGAACACTTTCATCTCATGTAAGCCACCACAGTTTCCAAAAGGAGCAGTCCAACCTTCCCCTTCCAATCCTTGCACAGCCAGTAAGCACACTGCTCCACTGACAGAGGAGCTAAAGACACTGGGCTTAAACTACATGGTTATGGAAATAAAGAAAACCAACCAAATAAATGTGTTTCATTTTGGTATTTTCTGATGGACACAATTATATGCTTTAGTTTAAAAACTGTTTTTCAGTTTTCTCTTTTTTCCTGTATTTTACATAAATTGAACATCAGTATCAAGACATGAATCATTTACCCCAACCATGTTTTTCTTTACAACTTGCTGTTCCAATGACTTCAGTGTTACCAGAATTACACCAGAATTTCAAAATTCTCTACCAAATGGGATCTCTCATGTAGGCAGCTTTATAAATCCACAGAAGCAGCAACAGAGCATATCATAAAAGCAGAGGAAAAGATTATCTGTAGCCACTTATTGTCAAGTGGTTTAAACACCTGGTGGACATAATGTGCCAGAACTTCAGATACTGGTTTCATCTCTAGTTATAAAGTTACAAGCAATGCAGTCACTCTTTTCAGTGGCACAGTTCCTTATCTGTGAAATGCTTCACTACTACAGCGAAGTGGAAATTAACTCATCATTTTACATGAGAGCTTCTGATACCACAATAACATCCTGAATAAAATACAAAAAGCCAAATATTCAAAATAAAAACCATGTAAAATAACAAACTGCCTGTTACAATCATTGTGCTGAAGTACAGAAGGCAGAATATAAGTCCACTGCATGAATAGGAGATGAGAACTTTGCTGACAAAATTAATCTGTATGTTCAGGTACTATCTAGTTTATTTGCAATATGCTGCAGTATTAGATCTCATTATTAGCTCTCATGCACAACCTTATCGTCATTGTCCTTCACTGCCAATCGGAGTTAAGAACATATTTGAATGAAGAAGTATTTCAGGACTGATATGATGTCCTTGTTTAGCCTCAGGAAAAAAAAAGCAGGGTGAGAAAAATAATAAAAAGAGAAAATATCTTTTTTTCAGGACAACCAAGCACTGTTTCTATGTAAAGCATGTCAAATGACATATAAAGTGAAAACAACTTCAGGGCAGCATGCATTTTTATCTGAAAGATGACAGATCAGCAGATCTGTTCAGTCTGCATGGTTTCTGGAGGAACAGTGTGTCATACAGGGACAGAAAAAGGAAACTACAGATTCTTTCAAAATGGAGAACTCCACATATTCACAATTTAATATCTGTTTTAGATCCTGCAGGAAAAAAAAACATATTAAAAAGAGAGTAATTTTAAAATTTTCTTCTAGATATAGTTAAAGGAGAGTAAATCTTGCACAGTCACAGCACCTGACTGAACACCTCTTTTTACAAGAAATCAACCTGCTTATTGCTTTCTGACAATGAAATTAAAAAATATTAAATTGATAAACAATCCGCCCTCTATTTAGTGTCCACATTACACACGCAGACATGCTTTTACTAATAAATTGCTAATTACAACCTTCCCAAAAGAGGTCACATCTCTGCAGTGACAAACAGATCTAATGATTTGGAAGCATGAACACAATGCATTAATGAATGCAGTCTAAAAGGACTGTCTGAACTACTATTACTTCTCTATGGGATTACAAGTTAACTCCACGTAAATAATAATAAATGTCGTCTGTATCAGGCCTTGTATTTGCATGGATCTGCAGCATGCTTATGTACTACCTTAATATTTCAAAAGTGAAGGAAGAGACTGTGCAATCAATCCAAGCAACAAGGGAAAAAAATCAGATAAAGTCTGAGAAACTGGTTCCAAGAAAAAAAATCTCACACAGATAAACTCTGCAGTTTGAAGAAAAAAAAACACAAATAAACCTCAGGTCCTCATAATAACTGAAATAATACTGGTACGCTGACTTCCATGGACTTACCCTGATGTACTGTGAATCTAGCCCTAGGTTATAGATTAGTATCACTAACAAATGGACAAAATGCGCACTACAGGCAACTACAGTATGCTGAGGAATCCTCAGAGAGATATTTAACTTGCTAGTATTGTTTTTTGCCAAAGAATGCTGTTTCTCAAACAGATTGCCTTCTTTCAAGGGCTTCTGCTCTTCCATGTAACCACTGTGGCTAAACCAAGGCCGTATTACACACTGACCTAAAAAAAAATATTTAAAAGAAACAAAGCATGAAAACTTCTTAGTTCCAGGCACAGCTAATAATTAGTATTAAAGTACTGTCATCTTCCTTACACACCACTTCTACTCTTACTCATTCAAACCTTTTCTTGGTTTGAACACCCACTCCTTTGCCCATTACTCTAATGCTTGTGCTCCTGTGGATTGAAAAAACAAAAGTCATTGGGCTGAGCATCCGAAGCAACTGAACAAGGCCTGTTTGCCAATGAGTCCATGGCCATGATATGAAAGTGGCTATATCATTTCAGGACAGCTCCTGAGTGCAATAATCAAAAAATGGTGTTATCACTCAGGAAGTGCACAGCTGCACCAATGTCAGCAAGAAAAAACTCATACCCAAAGGCCAAAAAGAAGGTTCTAGGATGACCTTGTGCTCTCCTAAACTGTTACCATGTATAAGTCACTGCTGTTGACCCTGTACTGGAGGCTTGCCCAAATCCTGCACACGTTACAGTACAGCTGCTGCTCCACAAGAACCTCCTCTAAGAAGAAACCACTCACACATCTTTGATGTAAGAAGCTGAAGCTTTTTTCTGAATAGCTTTCATTTCACACACTTTGTATGTATGAGAGCTTACTGCCGTAAGCCTGCCACTCAGTACACCACTGTACACCAAACACACTGCAAAACAACTTCCTGAATCACAATGCAAACAGAGAAACACAGAGAACACAAAACCCTTCTCTAAAAGAATGCTTTCTAAATGTCCTTAAAATGTGAAAAGGAAAGTGGAATTTGACTGTGCTCGCTAAGTAACAACCCACTTCCACCAGTTTCTGTAAGCATTATGATTCTCAATTGTGTTGGAATCATCAAGGTCCTGAGACTGGTTTTCAGTCATCAATTTCCTAAGCAAATACTGACCCCTGTCAAAATTCAAGGCTGGGGAGCATAAGGCCCTCTTCCTTTTCTCATTGAGCAAGTGCCAACACTTTGTTTCAACATTGATAAACCAGTTTGTTTGCCATCAGTTATGCCCTTAGGCTTATTCAGCTCAGAAAATGGAAACACTAGACAGGTTTAACTTCCTGTTTTCTTGCTATGATATTTGGTTTAGAGAACAGTTCAAAGTAACTTTCAAATTCAATCATTTTAGTTAAATGATAAATAGTATCTCTCTTAAATAGTTTTTACTGCATTGATTCACAGAAATCTACTCCACAGCAGCTACTGTAAAGAAAAGCACACCATTATTGACGCCAAGAGACCATGCAGGGCTCAGCACCTCCACAAGCATGTCTGACTGTGGTTCATTTTACATGGACTTTTATACTTCCACAGTTCGGGGATCCGCCCTTGTTAGCTTATCTAAAAGGTACAGTTTTAAGGGCTGGGATCTTATGTAACTTGTGGTTTCATTATCCTAGGGTTACAAACGTAGTAGATAGTTGCTATCAAATTCATCACGTTTATCTAACTGGTACAATGCTTTGCGATAACTGTGCTTTATAGATTATGTTCTTCTATTTTTTTTATCTATTAAAGCAGAACTTATGACTTTGCATTCTTCTAGACTCTCACAACAGTTAACATGCCTCTCCCTTCTTATCACCTTAGCCCACCGGGCAGTTCCCTGCTTGCAGAAGCAGTTGTATTTAAGTGCAGCAGTTAATGCTCCTCTCCCTTCTTATCACCTTCGCCCACCAGCGCTAGGCCCTGCTTGCAAAAGTGATTACAGTTAAACGCAGCAGTCACACCTTTAAGGTTTCGTGAATTCATACCTATGCTAAGATGCTTGTGTCAAGTGAGGCCTGTGTTTCAGTATCAATCCCTTCGAAACTGTCTTAAAACCACACCAAAACAAAATATATATCAAAATACTGAAAGCAAAAGTATACAATGCGCAACCTAAAAACTTTGATTCACAGTTACTGGGTAAAATATTCTACTTCACTGAAAATGACAGAAGTTGTCCTTTGCTTTAGTAGGAAGCAGTAGGGTAGTGAGGTGGGAAAACATTTTTCTGAGCAGCCTTGGAGCTTGGGGACCATCTGGGAGTCTGGTCCTACAGCCAGATCCCAAAGTATGCACAGAGGGAGCATTGATGGCTGTGGGAATGCTGCCTCCACTGACAGGTTCACTGGCAAGAAATACGAAAGAATGCAGTACTTTAATGTGATGTATCCTACGAAAGAAAAGTTAACTGACAAAGATATCAGAGAAACTGAATTACTAAAAAATAGGAACCAAAAAATAAATGCAAAACTTCTTGCTATATCAAATTTTTAAAATCTAGCTAAAAGAGATCAACTTACCATTTCCTTTCAGCACCTCATTAAGTAAATGAAAATTAACAATCAAGGAAAGCAGAAGAATGTGTTCAAGTTTCTACACATATTTGCTTTTGTAAACTGATAAGCACAACAAATGCTGACATATATTTTGAAAATGTGCACAGGCACAATTCAATTTATAACCACAAGCTTGGATCCACTTAAAATAATATTTAAACATTCAATACAACATTTTTTAGCCTTCCGAGTTATACTGAAATTTCTTTTAATGTCTCAGGATTTAATTTGGTCAACTGCAGAGAGCCTTGCATCTGCCATGGGACCAAATATGGCTCTTATGCATCAAAGAAAGCTGCTGATGTGAAATTTGGCCTATTTGTTATTACAATCTTAACTTTTCCCAGTTTTTTAACATGAATTAACTTTACACCATACATTGATGCCTTTTCAATGTTTCTGTTAGGTCTACATACGGCAGGAATTTTACATCTCTGCATAAACTGAGGAAAAAGAAAAAAAAAAAAAAAACAAAGACAAAAAGCTTCACAGAGCAGGACTCTGAGGAACGAGCCTCTGACGACTAGGATCACCTTTCTCATCACCTCCCTCCACACCTCTTCCTCGGTTTATGTTTGCAGGAAGGCCGATGATTTAATCATCCTTCTTGCAAAAGATAAGGAAACAAAAAAAAACCTGCCAGGTTATTGAACCACTGCATTTTACTGCCACCAGGAAATGGAGTCATTACTGTAAAGAAAAGTACCTTTTGGAGCCTCCAATATAGGTGAAGGTAAAGGTGGAGTCTGAGTACCTGAAATCTGAAAGACAAAGAGCTGCTTTATTACAACTTGTCTTTATTTTGGCTGAAGTAGCCGAGTAGCTACGGAGCAGCATTCAGCTCCCGACACGGGGGCGGTGGAAGGGGAGTCGGGGTGAGCCAGAGTAAAATGCAGCATCTCCCCCCAGCCCCTCGCAACAAGTGCCCGGTGCTATGGCAACGGCAGGGAATTCCATTGTCACACACGGCAACAGGCAGCCGACAGCCGGGCTCCTGCGACGGCTCACCGCGACCGGCAGCGCCGGGGAGGGCGGCAGGGGCTGCCGGCACGGGCAGGGCCCGTCTGCGGCTGGATGTGCCACGGCCTGGGGCCGAGGGGCCGCCCACCAACAGCGGCGGAGCGAAACCCCCCGAGCTGCGCCGGGCTCGGGCTCGGGCTCGCACCCAGCGCCGCCGGGGCTGCGCGTCGCCACCGCCGCGCTCCCCGGCTCGGGATGCCGCCCCCCAACCCCGCCCGCCCCTCTCCCGGCCGGCGCCCGGTATCCTCTGCCCTCATATGCCCTCGGAAGGAGAGGACGAAGACGGGGTCTGAGAGCGGCCCCGCGGCCGGGAACGGCGGCGAAGGGCACGGGCACGGCGGGAGCGCGGTCCGGGGCGGGCGCGGCGGCGGCGACAGCGACGGGAGCCTCCGCGCCGCCAACCTGGCGCCCGGGGACAAACTCACCTGCAAACAGGCAGTCCTTCTCCGCCTTGCACTTTTGGATCACAACGTCAATATCCTTCTGAATCCTCTCTTGTCTTGAACACATCCCCATGAAATAAATCCCAGGGGAAAAAAATAGCAGCCTTTATTTCCACCCCACCCCACCCCCCGCGCTGCCAGGGTTTTTTTCAAGATTCAGCCCGAAAGAAGGAGCCCGGGGCTGACGAGCAGGAGCCTCCCCGGCGGCCCGGTGAGATCCGTTCGGCCGGTTGGAGGACGTTGAAGGCAGCCGGCGGGAGCCGAGGTTGTTTGCCCAGATGCGCCCGCCCAGATGTGCCGCCGCTGCCGGCGAATGGCAATTTCCTCACAATGGATCCAGCGGAGGGTGGCGGCGGCGACACGGGATCCCCCCACCCCCCCACGCCCTCTGGGTTTTTTGGGGTTGGTTGGCTGGTTTAGTCTTTTTTTTTTTTTTT